ATTATAATAATAAGCTATTGTTTCTATTTTTTCAAAAATATTAACACTTTAAAATCATAATTTTTTATTTATTTTATCATCACGTTATTTTTTTAAAAATTTCAAAACAGTAATGATCGTCATTATCCGTTATATCGAAATAAATTTGTTAATGTACGACATGAGAAGGTTTAAAAAAATATCCGGTATACCGAATATATATAAAAATCCGCTAAATCCGTTAAATCAAGATAAATAACTATAAAAAAATTCTGTTCCGAAATTTTATCCGTTAAACCCTTAAATCCGCTAAATCGAGTTTCACTGTGTACAAATTTCCTATAACGAACTTTTTTAGCCCAGCCAAAGGTTCGTTACAGAGAATGTACTGTACGAAGAATTAAATGTAACATTTAAATTAAAAAAATTGATTTAATAAAATACTTTTTAAAGAAAGAGAAATAAAAATAAAAAAAGAACATTTTAAAATTTGAAAAACCAAATTCACTTATAAACTTTCTTCACGATCGACTTTGCATCTGATTTTGGGGTTGATTGTTGTCGTTGGGATTGAGGTTGGGATTGATATTTAAGTTGGAATTGAAGTTGCTGGTATAGTTGATATAACCGTTGTTGATGTAACTATTGTTAATATGTTGTACCTGTTGCTGTTGCTGTTGCTGTTGCTGTTGCTGTTGCTGTTGCTGTTGCTGTTGCTGTTGCTGTTGTTGCATATTTATTTGTTCCGATAAAGTTGGACGGTAAAGGTCAAAACCAAGTTGCGTTTCTATATCTTGTAGAATTAGTTTATTTTCTTGAACTTGTAAAAATTCTTGTGGAATATTGTCATTACCATCAATCACATAACGAGATTCAAAGTTATCCGATAAATTTGTTTGTAATACTGGAGTTGCATTTTCAGTAATAGGATCGACTTGAGTAGCTTCATTATACGGAGTTGAACTTGGCGACGCGTCTTTTGTGTAAGGCAGATAATGGAATGTAATTGAACAATGGTTATTATTAATTTCATTTGGTATTTGTTGTGGTAGTTCTTGTTCTGGTTGTGGTTGTTGATCTCCCGAAATTTTATGAGGATACATTTTAAATTTCTCAGCAGCCAGTTTCGCTAATATTCCAAAGTATTTTTTTACTTCGCACGATTCCTCACCCCAAGATTTTCCAGTTATACCCGAAACCTTTCCTTGGTCCTTTCGCTCCTTAAAAGATTTATTAGAATTTCTTCGATACAACATATAAACATTCTGTGATTTTTTTTTTTTGTTGTTGTTGTTTCTAGTACTAGGGGAAATCAACACTTCGATTGGTAAATGAAGTTCACAAGGACGATTTAATAAAAGATAAACTTCATCATTATCAAGTCGTGCATTAACAAAACATGATAATAATGTGGACGTTAAACAATCTTCATTAACAAGTTGTGCTCGAATAGCATTGAATAATAATAAGGAGATTACAAAAAATTCATTATTAATACTAATTGCTGCTATCATTGGATAAGACATTATTGTTATTAAATAAAAAATCTTTTCGATTTTTCAAATTTTAGAGGGTGCGATTGTTGCATTAATTTATAATAAAAATTCATCTATTAGTCCGGTCTATTTGTAAATAAAATATAGATAAGGTAACAGCCTGTTATCTAAAAACAGTAACGTTTTTAGCCACCAAGGTAATAACTCTCTTAAATTTTCAGATAAAAAATGGTGATTTATGTTACACAGAATATATTTCAATGGATTCATTGATATTGAACACGAATAACATGGCATTAATAAAAAGCAAACATTCCATTCAATATCAAAGAAGAATTCAAATATCTTGCTTGGTAAATTATATATATATAATTATAATAAAGATTATACGAGTGCTATTAACAAACGTTGTCGATTCAATATCAAAGAACAAATATCTTGATAAACTATATATCTTTTTTGTAATAAATATTTGAAATAATAATTTATTAATAATTTATCAAAGGAATCTGAAACCTCAGCAGCTGATCGATCAGCGATGTAGTTCAATTTTGTATAATTAATTCACAAACGAGCAGAATAACGAAATAATTGGTGCCAGAAATAAAATTAAAGTTTATTGTTGATAATAAATAAATTTGTTGCCAAAAAAAAATTACAATAGTTAATTGATTTTATGTCAATACATTTCAATGTTTTGAATAATGTCATCCATTGCTATAAACACGACATACATATGAATGGTAAATTTGTTTAAATTAAACAACCTTTTATTTCCAAAATAATTTACTGGTTGTAGAAACATATCATATATTTCAATGGTTTGAATAATAATAATAAAATTAAAGATGGGAGTCACAATTCAATTTAATATTCTGCAACTGCACTCAATTTTTATATGCCACACTTAGTTGCAACTAGTAATAATTAATTGAGGAGCCATACTTAATAATAATATCGTTACTTATCGTTACTATAGAGCACGACATGTGAATTGATTACACATTATCAACGTGATAAAAATTTTAGAGTTTGGTTACAAATTCTGATTGTCTAACATGCGTGTGAATTTCAATATAATCATTGTTACGAAAATCATTTTGATTGGTGATATATATTAATATGAATGGAGTCTGTATTACAATTTAATTTGAATTAGATTTATATTTAATTTAAATTGAAATTAAATTGATTTTATTTAACTAGCATATTTCTTTTAAAGAAAATTCTGAATTTTTTATTCTTATTTCTATTAAATTATTTTTTATCATCGCAATTTAATTACAATGTCTCAATGTTGTATATTCTTTTCAAACTATTGAAAACACATCGTGCTTAATATTTAGTGATAGTTGTGTAAAAACAATTACTAATTTATTACGTAAAAACATTACATTTAGATTAATAATATGCACTTCGTATATATATCTATGAATCAGTGAATGTCGATCTTTTTTATTATAAAAATATGGGGGAAATTTCATATTACATGATCAACAAAAAAGTATTAATTTTGAAAAACATAAAAATAAAATAGCATTCAATCTACAAAAGTTATTTAGCTGAGGATTCTAAATTAATCAATTTAATGACATATTTTTATTAATGCATAACTTCATGTTAAAATTTTTCTGCCTTAATTATTAGTATCAGTGTTGTAACCCGAAACAGAAACCAACAGTAACCACCTGAAACTAGTTTATGTTAGTGGTTTAGGTTTATGTTTAAGTTTCTGCTTAGTGTAAGTTCATTTTCTGAACGTTTTGGAAAGCCAAAAGAGTTTCTGGTCACAACACTGATTAGTATTAACAAAGGTTTTTTTATTTATCGATTTATTAGGGAGTGACTCTAGACAGATAAAGCATAAATACATATTTATGGAGTTATTATTACAAGCATTTTTTTTTGCATTTTTTTTATTTATAATTATATATCTAATGTAAGAGATAATAAATGTTAGAAAAATCAGATTTTTTTCAATAACAAAACTCAAAAAAGCAACACATCATAAAGAGAAAAAATTTTTTTTTACATAATTAAAGGCAATAAAAAGTACATAAATATGTTCTCTGAGATTTATTTTATCTGTATGCATGAAAAAAATTTATCTTGCAAGACAAAAGTATAGTAACTTTTTTTTATAAAAGGTTACCGATTAGTGTTTTTTTGGTCAATTTCCCCCGCCGATCACTATATAATGTTCACTGATTCATAGAAGCATAGTGGAAGTTTGTTGTTACATGAAATGCTATACAGAACTCATTGCTTCTGAAACTTCGCCAGTAAATAGTTGTTACCTCTCTAAATTGGAGATCAAGTTCAGATCCGATTCAAATCCAGTTTATCACTTACTTTTTATTGCCAGAATGTTTGCCGTGTATTGTAAAGCTACGTTGCACAATATTAAAAATTAGTGTAACATTTCAAATTTCCACTATGTTATTCATAGACGGATCGTCAATTAAAAATGTTATATTATCAATAATTAAAATAAGGATTTACCCGAAATATGAAATTTGAATGGTTCTATTCAACTTTCAACGTACTGACAATGTTGTTTGTTAAATGTGGAACACAGCGTATTTAGGGGTAATTGTTTTGGAAGTTTAACATTAATAATACCATTCATATGTCGTACATGTTGCCAAACCATTGAAAATATATTGTGCCTCGTTATTTGCTTATCATATCTTTATTTATAATTATTTATCAAGATCTTTAATATTCAATTAACGCATTTGTTTGTTTGTTTTTTATATTGATGACATATTATTCATTCACATGTTGTGTGATGTAACATACCAACTTTCTCGCTCCAAGATAGCAATTATATAAAACTAATTAACTAAGGAAACATGAAAAAATGTTTTCAATGAACAAATGTTTTTAACGACAATGTTTTCAATGAACAAATATTTTCAATGAACAATGTCTTGTTATCTTAGGTAAAATGTCATTCCTTAATACTATTTTTAGAATAATAAAATCTATCAGCCTGTTATTTTTACAGATTGAATTAAAAATGACTTTTGATGAATTTTTTATATAAATTAAAAAAAATTTCTAAAATTTAAAAACCGCGTTGTTGATAAAAAATTTTTTTATAATGTCTAATCATCTAATAGATATTAATAATGAAATTTTTGTAACATCCTCATCATTGTTATTATGTGTTATTAAAGCACGACTTGATAATGATAAAGTTAGACTTCTTTTTAAACCACCTTGTGAACTCTATTTATCAATAGAAGAATTGATTGCGCCAAGATACAATCCAACAAAAACCCCAAGACCTCAGAATCGGTTTGTTTTGTATCGAAAAAATTATAACAAATCTCTTGAGGATGGAACTAATGTACCGAATGTTTCAAAAGGTGCTGCGAAGGCTTGGAATATTGAATCACACGAAGTAAGGATGTACTTTGAAATATTAGAGAATCTGGCACTTGAAATGCTCAAGTTACTTTATCCCGGTTACAAATATACAAGCTCAGGAGATCAATCACTAAGTTTTGAAGCTAAAGAACCAGGACCAGGACCAGGATTACAACAAAAACAAAATAATACCGGTCACGTAACTCCATCACCATCGCCACATCTGTCTTCTTATACAAACGGTGATACAAATCTATCACCGCTCACTTATTCAAATTTATCTAATATTAATTATAAGAATTCACTTTATCTATCTTATACAAACGATGATACAAATCCATCGTCTTTTACTTATTCAAATTTGTCCACGCTACATTCAGATAAAAACGCACTTGAACTGTCTTCTTCTTACACGAGCGATATTACGAATTCATCGTCTTTCTCCAATTCACTTACTTCTTTACTTCCATGTTTTACACCACCTCATTCTACTATTAATTAGCATTTTAATTTTTTGTTATTAAAATTTTCCTGTTGATCATTATCTCGTTTCAACGGATATAGGTGGTCAATCCCATAGATCTGTTGAAACGAGGTTTGACTGTATTCAGATAATTCATCTGGTATAGTTAATTCAATCTGTTTAGAATCTACAAATCAATTTGTTTAGAATCTACAAAATATTTTATCACAAAGAGTGGATATTGTTAATTATAAAATTAATAAAATGAAAACAATCAATGATTGAATGTTAATAATTACCATTATTATTACCAATAATTGTTACTTTATTGGAATTCACAGGTTGGGGAAGGTT